TTTTTTTTTAACTTTCACTATCTGGAGAATGACACTACAAATGTTACTCGTCACAACAAGACTTTGTTTGTTGCATTAACAATAAACTTTTTCTGTTCCTGTCATTTCATTGATTTGCAAGTATAAGCTGGCAAAAGTTTTTGCACATTTGTGCTAATATTGTTAGAACAAACCTTTCCATCTTCATGCCTGTTATACAAACCAATAATCGCAAGCCCCGCTGCCTCTAAATTTAATCATAAATATCAATCAAAGTTCATTTAAACTGGCCAGGTTATGCGAGATGGAATGATTGTCCAATCAGGGAAGTATGACGAGCTACTTAATGCTGGTACTGATTTTGCATCATTAGTTGCTGCACACGACAGTTCCATGGAGTTGGTTGAGCAGAGTGCACCCGCCCATGAAAGCATGGATGATCCATCTAAACCATCAAATAAATCCATCACAGATCACGATAAAGCTAATGGTGAAACTTCCACCATGTCACCTAAGGCTGAAAAGGGCTCTTCTAAGCTGATCAAGGATGAGGAGAGGGAGACTGGGCATGTCAGTTTGAATGTATACAAAACCTACATGACCGAGGCTTGGGGCTGGTGGGGAGTCATCAGTGTGCTGCTTGTTTCATTTCTGTGGCAAGGATCTCTGATTGCCTGTGATTATTGGTTGTCATTCACAACTTCAGCTAATAATTCTGCTTCGTTCAGTTCATCGCTATTTATTGAAGTTTATGTCGGCATAGCTGTGGTTTCAATTGTCCTCATCACAGGGAGGGCCTTTCTTATAACTTCCTGGGGGCTCCAGACGGCGCAGATCTTCTTCAAGCAGATATTGAGCAGCATCTTGCATGCACCCATGTCATTTTTTGATACCACTCCTTCCGGAAGAATCCTTAGTCGAGTATTTCACTCCCTTCTTTTCGATTCCTTCATCTTACATTTACTTTATTATGTATTGTGACTTAAATGGCTATTGCAAGAGATTTCTTTCACGAATACTTAAATGTTATTTTTTCCTTCAACTGATCGGAATTCCACTGTTAGGCATCATCGGATCAAACCAACGTCGATCTCTTCATCCCGTTCTTCATTGGATTGGCTGTTGCGATGTACATTGCAGTTCTTGGCATTCTTGTGGTCATCATTCAGGTAGCTTGGCCAACTCTCGTTTTCATAATTCCACTGGGATGGCTCAACATTTGGTACCGGGTGGGTTTTCTCTTCATTCAGTAGACAAGCTTTGTTGAGCTCTATGCTTCTATCAATCCTAATTGATTGCACCTCTTAATGATTTCGTTTTAATGCAGGGCTACTTTATTACAACATCTCGTGAGTTAACTCGGCTTGATTCAATAACCAAAGCACCTGTCATCCATCACTTCTCAGAGACCATTCAGGGCGTCATGACTATTCGGTGCTTCAAGAAAGAAGAAAGGTTCTCCCAGGAGAACATCAACAGAGTTAATGCAAGCTTAACTATGGATTTTCACAACAACGCTTCTAATGAGTGGATGGGATTCCGGTTGGAGTTAATAGGAGTCTTAGTTTTATGCATTTCTGCGTTACTAATGGTTTTGCTTCCCAGCAGTATTATCAAACCAGGTTAGTTTTTAGCATTTAAACTGAAATTTGTGCTGCAATCCATTAAAAAAAGCACTGTTTTTTTCTCCCACCTAAGTAGATATGAAGCTGTGAATTTGATAAGAAGATTGAAGGCTGCTAAAAAAATTGGTTGTTTATCTTTTTGTTCCAAACGCATAGATGTGTTAGATGTGCATGTGTAGATGCATTTATACTATCAACTTTTGTGTGATGAATATGATGGGAAATCTCTAACTTCACCGGGCTTGGAATAAATTAGA